TTGGTCCTCTCATGGAACTCAAACCCAAACAGTTAGCATACCAGAACGTGGTACCCGATACAATGATTATGCCAGAACTTGGCAACCGATCCCATAATTATGCCGGAACGTGGCAATCGATCCAAGTTAGTTATGTCGGAACGTGGCAACCGATCCATTCAACACACCACAATCACAATCACAAGTATATCCTCAAGATCATACAATTAAGTCTTGATTTCATGGTAACCATTATTCATCTACCTCATTACAACAAGTGTGATCAATAATGCAACATTCATATACATACATGTATCATAATGAAGCAAGAACAAACATACATCACACAATCATGAATCACAACCATCACCTACCTTGAAACAAGCTTGAAACCCTAAGAAACTTGATCCTTCCCTTTCCGAATTCGTTTCGCTTGTTCTTGGTCTACAAACAATCATAATGACACTAGAATCAATAAACAATCACTAATTACCCCAATTACTAACAATTCTAACAACCCTAGATCATCCCCATGATCCCAAGTGTCCAAAATAAGGTTGTATCCATCATAGAATCTAGATCAAAACCCTCCCCCGTCATTAATTGTTCATTCTATTACGTTATACGAATCGAAAAATGGATTCGGGGAGTGAAAAGTTTACCTTTAGCCTCAAGAATGGTGGAAAACTATTAGGAGTCACCTGGGGTTCGTTCTTTAGTTCTAAAAATCAAAAAGTGTAGGAATAGGTCGTTTAGGGATTTATTTACGACCTTAAGTCACGTCGAACCCTCCACCGTGGCCCTCACCCCGTTGTGGCGGCCCCGTCAGAGCGACCAAAAGCTCCGCCAGAGCAGCTTGCACGAACCAGTGAGCTATTTAAAGAATTCCTAAATTCTCATTTCACAACACACTTCTAACCAACGACGCTCAGAAAATACCCATTACGCTAAGGTCGATTTCGGGAGTTCTACTCGCCCAAATTCAATTCCGTAAAGTCGTACGGATTCCTTAACGAGTTATCTAACCACTCATTTAACCGAAAGTATAAATAAATCACCCGATTGTTACCAGATTTTCCTACACCTTAAAGACTTCGATTTCGTCCAAATCTAGACAAGGTTGGGAAAATCTAAATACTACGAAAAAGTTTTCCGCTCCCAAATTTTCCCCCGTTGACATTTCTATAACGACGGAAATAGGTCGTTACAATAGATACCAATTTACCCATCACTCGACCCCGAGTGACAAAACTTTGGAAAATAGACTAAGGAAAGAATAAAGTAGTATCTGAATCGACGAACAATTGGGGATACTTGTCTCGCATGTCCCTCTCGGTTTCCCAAGTAGCTTCCTTAACTGGACGATGCTTCCATTGAAATTTCACGGACTTAATCTCCTTGGTCCTCAACTTATGCACATCACGATCAAGAATTGCAACCGGTTCCTCCTCATATTGAAGGTCTTTGTCTAACACAATTGAGTCTCACTTAATGATATAATCCCCGTCACCATGATACCCTTTCAACATTGACACATTAAATATCGGATGAACACCCGATAGATTAGGATACGCTTCCGGCCTCACACATTCAAGAACCTCAAATGGACCAATGTATCGCGGACTTAGCTTGCCCTTCTTGCCAAATCTCATTACCCCTTTCATGGGTGATACCTTAAGAAGAACATTTCCACCGGTTTGAAATGTCGTGTCTCTTACCTTATGATCCGCATACTTTTTTTGTCTACTCTAGGCTGTTAAAAGCTTAGCTTGAATACTCCTCACCTTTTCTTGAGCATCCTTCATTAAATCAACCCACAAAGGTTTCACATCCCCAGCCTCGAACCATCTTATTGGTGATCTACATCCCCTACCATAGAGTGCCTCACATGGTGACATAACTATGCTGGAGTAATAACTATTATTATAGGAAAATTCACACAAAGGTAGGAACTTATCCCCATGCCCTCCAAAATCAATCACACATGCCCTCAACATGTCTTCTAGCACTTGAATAGTCCTCTCTGACTGCCCATCTGTCTGTGGATGGAAGGTTGTACTAAAGGTGAGTTGTGTGCCCAATTCATCATGTAATTTCCTCCAAAACTTAGATGTGAATTGGGTACCACGGTCTGAGATGATAGAGAAGGGCACCACATGCAACCTCACTATCTCTTTCACATACACCTTAGCCAATTGTTCAGCATTATAATCTATTCTTACCGGAATAAAATGGGTTGAGTTAGTCAATCTATCAACCACTACCCAAATAGAATCAAACTTCCCCAAAGTCTTGGGAAGACCAACCACGAAATCCATGGCTATCCTCTCCCACTTTCATTCTGGAATTGGCTTTCTTTGAAACAAACCTGTAGGTCTTTGGTGTTCATATTTCACTTGTTGACAATTTTTACACTTCGCCACAAACTCCGATATGTCCTTCTTCAAGCCAGGCCACCAATAAATTCGCTTCAAATCTCGGTACATCTTGGTCACACCCGGATGGATAGAATATCACGAACCATAAGAT